GAGGGCCTGAACCACTGCCTCTGCCTGCTGGACTTCTGTGCCTGGGGTCCTTTGGGGAAGTGGCATAGTAGTGGGGGTTGTGAGTGGCTCAAGTCCCCCAAGCATGTGTTCAACTGTGCAGTTGTGCGGCTGTAGATTTATCGATTTGCTTCATTTATACCGTGACTTTCTCCCCAGTGGGGACCCAAAAGCAGCTTACATCCTTCTCTTCTCTGTGTTTTCCTCACAACAACGCTGCGAGGTAGGTCAGGCTGAGAGTGTGTGACTGGCCCAAGGTCACCCAGCCAGCTTCCACGGCAGAGCGGGGATTCGAACCTGGGTCTCCCAGATACTAGTCCAACACTCTCACCACTACGCCACACTTTCCCTCACCCTCTTAAGAACATAAGAGAAGCCAACGTTGGATCAGGCCAGTGGCCCATCCAGTTCAACACTCTGTCACACAGTGGCCAAAAATACCAGGGGGCCATCAGGAGGTCCAGCAGTGGGGACGGGACACTAGAAGCCCTCCCACTGTTGCCCCCCCCCAAGCACCAAGAACACAGTGCATCCCTTGCCCCAGACCGAGAGTTCCTATCTATACCTTAAGAACATAAGAGACGCCCATGTCGGATCAGGCCAATGGCCCTTCCAGTCCAACACTCTGTGTCACACAGTGGCCAAAAATACTAGGGGGGCGTCAGGAGATCCAGCAGTGGGGCCAGGACACTAGAAGCCCTCCCACCTGTTGACCCCCCCCCCCACAAGCACCAAGAATACCGAGCATCCTTTGCCCCAGACCGAGAGTTCCTATCTACACCTTGTGGCTAAGAGCCACTGATGGACGTCTGCTCCATATGCTTATCTAATTCCCTCTTGAAGCCGTCCATGCTTGTAGCCACCAACACCTCCTGTGGCAGTGAATCCCATGTGTTGATCACTCTTTGGGTAAAGAAGCACTTCCTTTTATCTGTTCTTTCGATGCCATGTTCTGTCATGGCATAGAAAGCTGGTTCCAGGGAGAAGCGAATGACTTACATTCTGTGCTGGAGGGGTTTTGTGTGTAGAGGGGGGCCTTTTGGGAGGACGACTGGCGATCTCCGCAGGGCAAGGAAAGGTTTTGAGTATTTCGGAGTGGGGGTGGGGAGTTCAGGGGCTACGGCTGCCTGTTCTGCCCCTTTCTGAACAGCCACCCTTGGCCTGCCTGAGCAGAGGGAGCAACGCAAGATGACTCTCAAAAGCAAGCCCAGTGGCCTAATGCACGGGAACGGTCACTAGCCAATCTGGGCTTGGGATGACTGGGTGAATATGGTCATGGTCCAGGGTGGCGCACGCCACCTTGTTCCTGGGTTCTTATTAATTTGGATCCCACCTTTCTCCCCAACGGAAACTGAAAGTGGCTTGCATCAGTCTCTTCTCCATTTTATTCTCACAACAACCCTGCATGGTAGGTTAGGCTGAAAGAGAGTTTATTGACTAGCCTAAGGTCACCCCGCAAGCTTCCATAGCATGTGAGGATTTGAACCTAGGTCTCTGAGACACTAGTCCAACACTCTTTAACTACTACACCACACGGGCTCTGTAGAATTATTTACAGAGGAATCTCTACAACTATTGCGAATGCTATTTGTGTTTATTGTAATTTCTTTTCCTTTTATCATTTCTTTTTATCGGTATTTTGTAAGATAAAAGTGTACAAACATTGTGAAGTTTAGAGATATAACAACTGAAACATTCAAAAAAAGAGCCAGTCTGGTGCAGTGGTTAAGTGTGCGGACTCTAATCTGGGAGAACCGGGTTTGATTCCCCACTCCTCCACTTGCACCTGCTGATGTGACCTTGGGTCAGTCACAAGCTCTGGCACAGCTATCCTTGAAAAAGAGCAGTTTCTGTCAGAGCTCTCTCAGCCCCACCTCCCTCACAGGGTGTCTGTTGTGGGGAGGGGAAGGGAAAGGAGTTTGTAAGCCGCTCTGAGACTCCAAGTGAAGGGTGGGGTATAAATCCAATCTCTTCTTCTTCTTCTTCAAATATTACATAGTCAAATAGTCAAATATGGTGGAAATGGATAAAGCTAGTTAAACTGTACAGTACATGAGATATTTCTCATGTTACAGCCTTATTACGAGATGATTAAAATAATTTTAAAGTACATTCAGCAGCTTTCTCTAACGTTTAAGTGAGTCACAGCTAAAACATTGTAATAAATGGTGCAACGCAACCAGGCTGTATATATGTTAACCAGGTAGTGAGAGTGTAGTGACATTAAGTGTAAAGTAGTTTGAGATATATTTGTTGGTGGGGTTGGATATCGTTAGCAGTTATGTATTCAAAGAACGAGAACCATTTCTGTCGTAGACGGTCTGTAATTGTCTCCATTATGAGAAGGTCCCAAACTTCCGTGAACCAGAGGTCAATTGTAGGGGCTAATTGAGACTTCCACCTTGAGGCTATGCACATCCTGGCTGAAACTATCAGGCTTGAGGTTAAGTTGTGTCTCATTCTCGGGATGTGGAGATAAAACTGTGGTTTATAAATTAAAAGGAGGGGGAAAGGAAAGGAATGGAGGAGAGATCTCCCCCCATCAACTCTCCCTGTCTACTTCTATCTATATAATGTTTAAATAATTAAAGAAAACAAATCAACACACATAACACAACCGGAGAGGAGGCCTGACAGCAGAAATTGGGGGTAGGCCCAACAAAGTAGGGCCGCGGTGGCTCAGAGGTTAAGATGCTGAGCTGCAGACTGGAAGGTCAGTAGGTCGGCAGTTCGAGACCCGAGTGTTGCCAGATGGAGTGAGCTCCCGTCTCTGGTCCCAGCTCCTGCCAACCTAGCAGTTCAAAAGCAAGAAATTGCAAGAGGATAAATAGGTACCGCTTCGGCGGGAAGGTAACAGCGTTCCATGTGCCTTGGCGTCTAATCATGCCGGCCACATGACCACTGAAGCGTCTTCAGACAGCACTGGCTCTTCGGCTTGGAAATGGAGATGAGCACCATCCTCTGGAGTTGGATTCGACCAGCTTTCGAGCAAAGGAAACCTTTACCAACAAAGCGAAAAAATCTTCACCCGTTGGCAGAAGACAGCAGTAGGGGGGAGACTGATTATAATCTCCGGGGGGGGGGGTTTCCAAAGTTTTGCCACCGCGACGGGGAATGCCCTTTCTTGGGTTGCCACCCATCAAGACTCAGGGGACGGGCCACCCGAAACAGGGCCTCCAAAGATAACCAGAGTAGACGGGGGATTCATGCAGGAGAAGGCAGTTATTTGCCACCCTTTCCTAAAAATCAGCGCATTAGAATTCACTCTCCAGATCTTTCTTTCACACACACCCCAGGATGAATTGTAGGCGCGTGGGGTGGAACTGGTCATGGGCAGGCAAGCGGAGTCTCTCTCTCTCTCTCTCTCTCTCTCTGGCTTTTTATTACATTTTCTAAATGAACTACAAGAAATCAAGGGAGGGGAATCTATAAACTATGGGAGAAAGTAAAGAAAACCACTAAAAATCCAAGAGATGAAGGTCATACATGCTTACAGAATTAGCTTTTTAAACAATGTTTGCTAACGTTGAAGGTAAACAGTCATGATGGTGTCGCTTCTATCATCAATCCCAGCAAATCTGACTATATACAGAGGCATACAAGAGCATAAATGAAATTCGCTAGTGCAAACATCAGGAAACATCAGCATCTCTTTTTTCTTTAAACTTTTTTGTTCCCCGCTTAATGGCCTCCCCCCATCTTAAAATTGAGTCTTCAGCGAATGTAATTGCTGTCTCATCTTCTCTTCCTTTGTTGCAATTTTCTTCTCTTTATCTTCTTCTCCTGTTGGTTCTTATTGTTGCGGCAATAGCTGACCAGTCCTGGACAGAGTCAAGTCTTTCCTTTTTGTTCATATCTTCAATTGTAAAGGTAGTTATATTGCTTTTGGTTGTATAGTCTAATTGTCTCCTGGAGAATCTGGCCACCATCTCACCGAGCAGATTATCTTCTTTATACATTCCGGATATGTCCATAGATCATATCCATTC